ATATAAGAAAAAAAGAACAAGAAAATGAAGAGAAATTAGTTAGAAGTGCTAAATCATTACACAATAAAAATCCTTGTTTTATCCAAAATTTTAATATTTGAAGCCAATGTTTACACTATTTTTCAATGTTATTTTCAACAAATTATAATTATAGTAAGAGATTAGAGTGGTTGATGGCGAAGGAGTTAAGAGTTTTTCAACATGTTATTAGTTACGTGATTTTTATAGATTACATAATTTTTTTTTCATAAATATTATATAAAACGAACAAATCCATTAAGAATCTTTTAGTTAAATAAAAGAGAGAGAAAGAGAAAAATTTTAATGAAGCAAAGGAAAGAGAAAGATAGATGAGAATTTTTTTAAATCATATAAAAGTTTAGTTTAAAGAAGGGATAGTAAAAAGAAGATAAAGATTTTAATTAAAAATATGATTAGTTCGGGAGAATTAGAGAAATTTTTTATTAATAATTTATATTTTTATTCTTATAATTTTATATAAGTGATATGATATTTAAATATGAAAAAATTTATGTATATTTTTTTATAATAAAATTTTAATATTGAGTGACTAAAAAAATAATAATTTATCGTATAAAATTACAAAAATTGAATACACTTCATTCAAATTATTTATGATTCTCCAATACAAAATAAATTATATATTAATAACAATTTTTAAATAGTGATAAAAGATCTAACAAAATAAATATATAAAATAACTTATAATTAAATATTAGTGGCTCAAAATATTTAATAAATTAAATAAATAAAAATAAATTAAATAAATAGTTAAGAAAATACGATACGATACTTGACAAAATTAAAAGAAAAGAAGCGAATATAAATAACCATAAAAATTATTATGAAAAAATTAATTATTTTTATTAAAAACGTTGCACAATTTCTAAAATATCATTTCTACTTTTACTTCTTAACTTGTGCTCTCAGAACACAAGTTAGTATTACCCATATTTTAAATATCAAAACTCATATTTCCTCCTCTTCAAATCCACCCAATTTAGAGGGATGCAAAAAATATATTTTAGAAGGATTTTGTTCACCTTCCTTCCTGTCTCTTTCTCTCCTAAAATTTGAACAAAATATATTTAATTAAAAATTTCTTCTCCCATCGATTTACTCCAAATCAAACATACCCTAACAAATACTTTATTTATTATTTTCTTGTCGTTTTACTTTCTAATACAATGTCCAATTAACTACTTACTTTCTTTAATTTACTTATTCTTAACTAAAATAATACTAACTTCAATTTTTATTATAAGTTATTTTGAGAAAAATATTGTAGTATAATATAAGTCGTTTTTGAATACCAATAAATTATTAATCTTATTTTTTTATTATATTTTTAAATATTTATTATTTTTTTTCTTTTTAATTATATAAATTTTATAAAAAAATTTAAGATTTTTTTTTTATTTTATAATTATTAAATTTCTTAATACGTGTGAAAAATAAAATACGACTTATAATAAAAAAAAACTGAGAGGATATTCTTGAATACTCATTAAATTACAACCACTTTAAAAGAATTGTTAAAGTTGAAATTCCTTCTTATGCATGCAATGTTTGACTTGAGTGCTGAATTCCCTTCATGATCAATGAAATTTTGATTTTGCTTTTAACTTGGTTTTAAAAACCTCCTTGTAGAATGAGCAAAAGGCCTTTTTTTCTTTCTTTTCTAAATTTTAAATTCTTAAATAGTCATTGATCCCAAATCACCTATAAATTAATAATCAAATATAATTGATCTTAAATGGACCTTCAAAAATGAATTTTGGAATATTACAACCAATTTAAAAAGGAAATTTCGTCCACGAAATTTATGCTTAATAAAAAGACAAAGATAATTCAATTGCATTTTCAATTTAAATTCTCAAGTAACTTTTTCAATTTAAACTATTATTCCTTATGGATTTCATACTATACTATGATCCATCTATGTTGTAATACATATGATATACAATGTATCGGGACTCAATTTCTTTGTATTAAATATCCCTCGAAAACCCAATTTTAAAGTAAACCTTCAAAAATGTATGAACTTCTTTTCAAACTCTTAAGAATCTAGAGTTAAAAAGAATATTACAGTCAATAAACAAAATTCAATTTTAGTGAGCATAATGTTGGGCTAGATTTCTAACTAAATAACAAGTGAGTGATATATATATTGAGATGATCTCCAAACCTGCCACCCCATAATTTCTTATATATGGAATTGATTGAGAAAAAGGCTGTCAAACTGAAACAATGTCGGTTTTAGAATCGAATTATGAATCGGTTCTAGAACATAACTTTGGGCCGGTGGTTAAGATAGTGGGATTGGTTGGGGAAACATAGTTAGAATTGGACTCTGAACGGATTCTGATTCTGGAACAGCACTCTGAACCGGTTCTAAAACAGGATTTTGAACCGAAAATAGTTGTGAAGTAGGGATTTGTAGGGTTAGTTCTAAATTAGGGTTCTCTTTTCTGCAAGAGGACTCTCAACAGGTGGCGGATTTTAAAAAAATTTATATTAATTTTTTTAATTTCTTAATTTTAAAAGGATTTATATTAATTTTTTAATTTCTTAACTTTAAAAAATTAAGAAATTAAAGAATAACATCATGGTTCCGTATTTTAATTTTTTAACTTAAAAAAAAAATATATTAATTTTTTAAGTATTTCAAAAGTATTTTGTTAATTTTTTGTGTCAAATTAATGACAAAATAATTCTAAAATTTATAGTTAGATTCGATGTGAAATTGACGAAAAGTACTAATATAGTATGTTTTAAAGAATTTAATAATTATTGTAGACTTTTTCTTAAAAGTTAAATGATGAAAATGAATATTAAGAATAAAATACAAGAATAAAGTGTATTATTATCCACTATTTGCATGGACAATTTATCATAGAAAAATAACATAATCTCAAATGGCGTACATGACTAGAAGAAAGTTTATGCAGAGACATCCAATTGTCTACAAAAACACTAATAAGGTTCTTAAGACCTCCTACAACTAGCTTTATTTCCTCATGGGGTAAGGGGCAACCAGACTTATAGTTTAGAAGCTAAAAAAAAAAAAAAAAATTCTTATCCCACCCCTTCATTTCTTAGTCACTAAATAATTTCAGGTTACGGAGATATATTTTTAAACGCATTTATTTTAACTCAACTTAAATTTGTTCGAAGATACACTTCCAAAATCACCATAAAACACGTATTTTATTCGTTTTTGAGTCAGACCTTTCAAATTTACAAATAATTATTTCTGAAAATATATCTCCGAAAATAATTTATTTGTAAATTTGAGAGTCTGACTCAAAAATAAATAATACGTGTTTTATGGTGATTCCGGAGATGTATCTCCGAAAAAATCCAAAATTGAGTTAAAAAAAGGTGCATCCGAAAATATATTTCCGAAACCTGAAGGCATTTAAAGAAACACGCATGGTGGCTAATAATCCCAAAAGGTGCCATAAAACCTCTCAGAAAATGGGGGTGTCAAAATTTTGAATGGTGGGCTTTTTAATATGATTAATATTTTTATACATATTATTTGTTGTAGATAAATATAGTATTGCAACATCGTTCCAGGAAGATTTTACCCCATACCCCTACCCTTATACCCACACCCCTACACTCAAAAATATTGGACCAAAATACCCTTATTTAAATATCTATAATTTTACAATTTTTTCAGTTTCACTTCATTTCCACTTATTTCCATTTCAAGACTTTCGGAGAGCTCTTCATCCATTTACAAACCGGAACTCTTCTACCAACTCTTCTGGAACACATTTGTTTTTCAATACATACCGGAACTCTAAGAGTAAGTCTTCCGGTTTGTATTCTGTTTTTGTTTCTTCACCAGAACTCTTTCTTGAAGACTTCCGGTTCACAAAATTTTGAGTTTATTCACCGGAACTCTTTCTTGAAGACTTCCGGTTCACAAAATTTTGAGTTTCTTCTCCGGAACTCTTTCTTGAAGACTTCTGGTTCATTGTTTTTTTTTTTTTTTTAATTTTTAATTATATTTATTTATTTATTGATTTGTAATTATATTGATTTTTTTTCCAGTGGTGCGCACACGAGGCAGAGATGGTAGGATCCCTCGTAGACTAGGACGGGGCGAGTCATCGAGGATGGCTGAAGAAGAGCATTTTGATGCATATGCATCAGAATCCGAGCCGGTTGGATATCCAGGAGGACCGTATGATACATCTCTGTTAGTTAAGTACGAACAGCATGTTGCATACTGTATATGGTTCAGTGAGGTAAGTAAACGAAAATTATTTAATATTGAATAGAATTCAAATTTTTAATATTGAATTTTATAATATTTTTACTTTTAATTTTTTTCAGGAGAGAGGGTCGAAGAAAGAGTTAAAGGTGGCGGGACATGGGTTGAAGTTGACTCAGAGGGTTCCACTACAGCTACCCAGAGAGATGGAGAGCTAGAATCTAGGTCTGGTCTAGCTTCACTCCAGAGAACCAGTTTAACAAAGATAGACACAAACCTAGTTTCCGCTTTTGCAGAGAGGTGGCATCTAGAGACATCTTCATTTTACATGTCGTTTGGTGAGATGTCGATTACTCTAGATGACGTATCTTGCTTGCTTCACTTGCCCATCAGGGGAGTCTTCTGGAGCCCTCAAGATATCAGTGAAGCTCTTGTTGTTGAGTGGGTTGTTGATTATTTAGGAGTGTCATAGAGAATAGCACAATAACAAGTCCGTGAATGCAGGGGTTCCTACTATAAGCTGAAGTGGTTATATGATCGGTTCGTATTACACAGAGCTGCATCTCGATGGGATTATGTCACTAGAGCTTATTTGATGATGTTAGTGGATTCCACTATTTTTGCGGACAAGACGTTTACGCTTGTCGAGGCACGATACCTCTCACTGTTTATAAACTTGGATGGCTTATCAGGATAGAGTTGGGCAGCAGCTGCGTTGGTTACTCTTTACAGATATCTCGGAGATGCTTCCATGTTCAGCTGTAAGCAGCTTGGTGGTTATCCGACTCTCCTTCAGGTATTTATTTTAATTTAGTATATTTTGTTTTAATTAATTTTATCTAGTATATTAATTTTATTTATCTAGTTTATTATGTTATAATTAATTATTTTAAATTTAGTAACCATATTAATTTTGTAATAGTGCTGGATTCATGAGTATTTTCCAACACTTGGGAAAAGAGGAGAGAACTGGATACCAGCTAATAATGTGGGTCTCCCTCGAGCGATGAGATGGTCCTATAGGCAAGGTGTCTTGAAGGTGGATGACTTGCGGCTTATTCTGGACGAGCTGACACCTGCCGATGTCATATGGCGTCCATTCAAGAATCATAGAGTATGGCGTCAGTTTGATGAGTTATGTCTCTATAGGGGGTGTCTGAGGTGGGGTGACATTATTGTTCCATACTTGCCTAACAGATGTATGCGTCAGTTTGGATAGAGGCAGTATGTTCCACATCCACCTCTTGATTCTTGAATGGCTGGTGATATTGATGTTGACTGGATTAGTTACCATCAGAGTGTTCAGAATGTGATTCGTCCGACAGCACCGGCCACCACCCCATATGAGACAAATGATGGGTATCTTGAGTGGTATTATCATGTTTCGCATCCTCGTCTGGTACCGCTCAGTGTTGATGCGACAACAGAGATGCCAGTTCCTGTATATGAAGCAGGATCATCTAATCCTATAGTGGCTCGTATGTCTTCATTGATTCATCATTATCTTCAACAGGCTGGCGCTGAAGAGGATGACCCACAGTTTGCTGATTTGTTCGAAGCTTTACATCTTGGTCAATCACAGTGACTTATATTTATATTTATTGTTATATGTTAACCTTTAGACTCATTTGACCTAATTGGTTTATGTTCATGTGTTAAATTTTAGACTCACTTGACCTATTTAGTTTATATTTATGTGTTAACATAATTCACGATTCATATTTTGAAATTAAAAATGAGTAACATAATTCACGATTCATGTTTTACAATTAAAAATGAGTAACATAATTCACGATTCTTGTTTTGAAATTAAAAACGAGTAACATAATTCACGATTCTTGTTTTGAAATTAAAAATGAGTAACATAATTTATAATTCATAATGCATTGGTAATATAGGCGTAAGTTGTTGCCAATGTTGTAGATGTCCTGCAAATCCTATCATCCAAGATGTTGCTGCTGGAGAACGAAACTTCTTCCAATCTACTGTCACTGGTGGCAATGGAAACCATTCTTTCATGTTTACCTAAATAAAAAAATAATCACAATATTATGTAAAAATAACGAAAAAGAATTAGGTTTAATCGCATTATCTAAAAACAACTAAGTACCTGAACCCAATTATTTCTGTTTACAAAACCAATGCAGTAAATTGCTACATTCGATGAAAATGAAGATGTCATAGGGAAGAAAGTCCAGCATTCAATTCCTAAACGGACAAGTACAACATTATAACGATTCGCTATCACGTAACCCATATCTGGTAGAGTTAACCATTTATGTGGTGGTTGAGGACCAAACTCCTCTATCATCAAATATTCTCTCACTGCTGCTAACTGATCAGTAAATAAATTGACATACAAACTTGATCTTTCATTATGTATTATTTCCAACCCCAAGTCTCGACGAACCATTGGCCAACCATCTTCGCCATATCCATGCAATGAAGCAATGACTCAAAATCCACAATTACCATCTGATACAACATTAAATACATCATCAATATATGACCTTATGTGATTAGGAAATTGAAGGATGAACTGCTTAGATGACTGTGAAGATTGTGATAGTTTCAACTTTTTCGAAGCCTGTGATGGTTGAGATTTCTTTTGTGAAGACTATGATAATTTCAATTTCTTCGAAGTTTGTGATGGTTGAGATTGCATCTGTGAAGATTGAGATGCTTGATCAACATACTCGTGATATGAAGGGTCTCTATAAACATCATATCCTACTGGTTTTTTGTCTTTCTTCTTAACTCCCCCTTTAGTTTTTATTTTCTCAAGTGGTGGACACATAGAAGTCATTGTAGGGAAGGCAAGTTCAAAAACCCTACTTTTTAATGCCCTTTTCCCAACAACATCCAGTGACTTAAACCTTTTCCATAACTCATCTAATGCACTACTCATATCCACCTCTGATCCATCATCTACATCTTCGTCCAACTTAACTTCCATACTTAGTTTTCTCCAATGAACATGTACAACATCTATTGGTATCGGTAAACCATCAATTCTATATTCTGTCAACTCACAAGCACAAGGTAATCCGTAGGTTGTTCTAAGAGTACAACGACATATTTCCTTGTTAGTTCCAACATAATCAACTCGTTTTAACTCTTCAGCAATGCGTCTCAATGCATCTCGAGACACTAAACCACGTAAATTATTGTAAAATGGACTTACGTGGGCGTGCTCAACTTCATAAAAACTCTTTTGAAAAGAAGCTCTAATATTACTCAATTGTAACTTTAAGTTTTCATTCATAGCCTCCCAACATTTGACCATGTCACCAATACTGTTCCCCAACATTTGCTTTAACTTCCAATAAGCAGACTCAACCCTAAAATTAATACATATTTAAAATATTTTAAAAAAATTCAAAAAAAAAATATACAATTTAGAAATACTAAAAATAAATACACACCGATTAGTCGTGGTGTTATCCAAATGTAGCACTCGATTAATCCATGCTCCAACAAATCTTTGTCTATGTGGTGTCAACCATGTGTCTTTCACATAATCAATAAATTCATTACAATCAACACACGCCTGCTCAAGTTGGTTCAACCTTTGATCATACTCAACCTCATCACTAGCCCATACAATATACGTCCATAATTTGTCAATTTTCTTTTGCATGTTACTAGCCACATATTGTTTCCGTTTTGCACCAACATTCTTGTTAATATGAAATCGACATAGCATATTGATCGACCTTGGAAACACAATTTTAATGGCTTTCATCAAAGCAAGATCTCTATCTGTCAAAATCACTTGTGGACACAACTCTTTCTTCACAAACAATTGTTTAAGCTTATTTAGCACCCAACAAAAAGTCTCAGTTTGCTCATACTCAATATAGGCAAATGCGACAGCAAAAGTCAACTTGGTTGATGTCATGCCAACAATTTCAAACAGAGGTTGCCTATATTTGTTTGTCTTGTAAGTGTTGTCCATAACTAGCACAATAGAAAAAATATTCAACAACTTAACTGAATCTGGATGAGCCCAAAAGATATCTCTAATTACTTCAGAGTCATCTCTTTTTCTACTCCAATAAACATAACATGCTTCCTCAATAAGCTTAAACAAATGTTGTATCTAACTTCTAGGACCTCTTATATTTTTTTCTATCATACTCTTCTGTTTGTATATTTGCGTGATCCGAGTGACATTATCTGGATCTTGCTCTTGCAATGAAAGCAATATATGTCTAGGTGGAACCTTTCTCCTTGTCAAATCAACAACATGTTTCTTCTGATCCGCTGTCAACCTACCGACAAATGTGTGACCTTCTAATCTATCAGGTAAATCATGGTTATGAACTCCACATTTTACATCAATCTTCCATCCGGATCCATCAATCGCTGGAATTGATCTGATTCTAAATGGACATCCACATTTTTTCGTCGCACTCTGGGTTCCACTATCGATATCTTTGTGTTTTCCTCCTTTATCACATCCAAATATTAATTTGTTACTTCTTCCTCTCTTGCCTGTTTTAATATCTGAACAAGTGAAGATAACCGTAACTTTATTTCGGATTCCGATCTCTTTAATCCATCTTATTATCTCTTCTCGTGTACCAAATCTTTGAGTTGTTGAAAAAACATCAGACGTATCTACGCATATCTGATCTTTATCGCATATTTGTAAAGGAATTTCTGAAACCTCTTCTCGTGTACCAAATCTTTGAGTTGTTGAAAAAACATCAGACGTATCTACGCATATCTGATCTTTATCTCATATTTGTAAAGGAATTTATGAAATAATTACATAAAAAAATTCAAAAAAAAAAATTGGACAATTCAAACTGGAGGACTTGTAACAAGAGTTCCGGTAGCCAAAAAAACAAACCGAAAGACTTGTAAAAAGTCTTCCGGTTTGTTTTTTGGCTACCGGAACTCTTGCTACAAGTCTTCCGGTGAACACCCACGAAAATTACCAAACCGGAAGTCTTTCCTGAAGTCTTCCGGTACAGTATTTTTGTGAACCGGAACTCTTTGTCCAAGTCTTTCGGTTTGAGAAAAAAAGCCTACCAGAAGTCATTTTCAAAGTGTTCCGATAGATCGTGGGATGAATTTCTCGGAACTCTAAAAAATCTAAAAAGTGAAAGAAAAAAAAATATTAAAAATATAAGGATAAAATGGGTATTTTTTTTAAATGTAGGGGTATGGGTATAAGTGCAGGGGTATAGGATAAAATTTCCTCGTTCCAGCGGCTGCAATAACATATTTTAACACGAAGTTGTGTGTTTGATTTTGGATGATGCATTTGTAATATTTTTTTTTAGTTTTTTCAAAAACGGTCAAAAGTAAAATAAAAAAACAAAATATTTAGACATAGGAGAATGAAACCCCCACACTATGGAAAATGAAAGAACTTCCCTCTCTCTAAGTCATTGTTGTTTAGTCATTACTTATGGAATCAAATATATATAATATTTATATAATTAAATCAACATTATTCCTTCAACATCATTCAAACTTATGGAATCGAATGCTTGCATTTTTATTTTCCACAATCCAAAATATTGTCTCTAGAAAATTTATCGATCTCCCATTTATCTATGGTGGACAATTATAAATAATACACTTTTGTCCTACGGTGGGTGTCACTTGTTGTAACATTCATAGAATAATTAAAACCCTTTTAGAAGAAATTTTCCAGATTTCATTCACTCCAAGAAATTTGATGTGTGGGACAAAAAACAATGACAACCAAACAAATGGTCTTCAGTAATAATAAATTTTAATGTAATAAGAAAGTGAATTAACTTGATATAAGAAGATAAAAGAATGCCAGAAACACACAATTTATTTATCCTGTTCGATCAAATCATCTACATATGTTGGAAAGAGCATTACTCAAATTCACTATACTCAAAAAGTTGTTACAAGAGATTACATATGAGTTACAAGAAAAGAGCCTTCTAAATTACAAGAAAAAAAATTCTATTTTCTACGAAGTGTTTTCCAACCTCTACAACTCTTAATAAAATAATCACACAAACCTAAGGTGTTTAAAAGTGTTATCTGATTCTTCAATATAACTCCAAAGATTTTCCTAAATCCTAAGCCATTATTTCTCTCTTTAGCTTTAAATTTCTAAACTTGTCACAATATAATAACAAAAGATATACATAGTTGTAATTTATAAAACCTAACATATTCATAATGAAGCCCAAAACATAATCCATTAACAAACGAATCTGCAATATGTTGAAATTCAACCACAACCTATAGAGAATTTCACTCAATCAATATTGATCTCAAGATTGTTCTCACTCACGTAATGACGCTGAAAAGATTTAGAAAGAAAGAAAGTAAGTGTTAAAGAAGAAGAAGATGAACAATTTTCTGCAGAAAACTATCTGCCCACAAACTATAAAAATTTTGTTATTTCACTTACAACTGCAAACTGTGAATTACAAATTATGATGAGTTCATATACAAAATAAGGGTTTCTCCCTATTTATAGATTTAAGTTTGCTTTCTCCCCAAGTCAAATCCCAAAAGTATAAAAGCCCAAAATAGCTAACATTACTAAAATATGCCTAAGTCGAAATCCCGTGTGAAGCAACATGCTTAAACACTTTAACACACTAAGAAACTCGACACACTAACACATTAGGCTAATTTGACTACTCCTTGTTTCTGTCGAGCTACATTACTTCGACACAAGGAATTACAAACTTAACGCACCACCTAATTAATTATATTTAAACTATCTACATTCATCATAGATCTTAGCCTTCTAAACACTTCGACTGGAACTCCCTTCGTCATGATGTCTGCAATCTGATTCTCAGTTCTACAGAGTTCCAAATTCATATTCCCTTCTGCTACATGCTCTTGAAGATAATGGAACCCCATTTCTTTGTGCTTGATTCGACCATGTGTTATTGGATTCTTTGCCAAGTTGATAGCTGACATGCTTCCGATCTTCATGGCAATTTCTCTATGACTCTTCGCTGTGATCATTTCGACCCGGTTCACCATCCAGGTTGCTTGACATACACAAAGAGAAACAACTATATATTCTGCTTCGCATGATGACAATGCCACTACTGGCTCCTTTCTCGAACTCCAAGCAACTGGTGCACCACCTAACATAAACATATAGCCAGCTGTGTATTTTCTATCCTCAACATCACTATATCAACTAGAGTCAGTGTATCCCACTAACTTGTATTCTTTTACTTCATCAGCTACAGGAATCGAAATGCCATAGTCGAGAGTCCCTTCTTGGTATCCTCTTCGCTGCTGCTATGTGTGATACATTTGGCTTCTGCATGAATTTACTTACCATACCCACATTGTATGCTAAGTAAAACCTTATGTGACAAAGGTATCGAAGTGACCTAATAAGTCTTCTATATTGGGTTGGGTCGACACCATCTTCATCTGAAT